CTACTTTTGGAAGAGCAATTGGGGGAGCACATAAAAATATATATTAAATGTTTATACTTTTAAAAATTTTTGAAACGAAGTGAAGATAAATAATTTAAGTGGAAATTGCCAGTCAACACATGAGTGGCAACCTTTGAAACTTTTTTTCTTAGACCTATATTTCATCTAGATATGTTTTCTTTTAAAAATTGCGCCCAAAGATAATAAGTTTTTCAAAATGTACAACTTCCAAATATACCAAAAGCAATTTTTTGATGTCTGCCAACCCTGAAAGAGCTTCTAGTTCCAAACGCAATATTTTTAACCGGTTTGGCATCCTTGTTTATTAAAGCACTTTCCGCAGCAAGTTGGCATGTTTTTCTAATTAGTTTGAAATATTGCAAGTCTAAATGGTTACAAGTGTGTAGTTTTTCTTAAGAAAGGTTAATATTTTATACGCCGGGACAACTTTCCGGATTAACATAACATAACCGCATTTATGGAAACGTGGCAACCTTGATTCGCCATTTTGGCCAACGTTCTTTCTTTCGTGATTGCCAGTCGGCAGGTGCGCATGCGTTTCACTCTTCCTGGAATTTTTTCTTCGAGTTTGGTTTAATAAAAAGCGGAATGGTAAGGGATTTCCTGGAAAGCTTAAGAAATTTGTCTTAACCAGGTCCCTTTTTATATTTGCCAGCCAAAAAGGAACTGGCGCCGGACCAAGTGCTCGGTACACCTGCCCAGGAGCGAGTTGGTCGAAATACAGCCCAAGATGTCCGGCACTAGCGCTGAAGAAGGGCCATCTTCCTCTGGATCTGGACCCCGGATGACTGTGGAGACTCTTTCACCCAGTCCCGCAAAGGGGGAGTCTAAGGAACTCTCGGCTAGCGACGGGTGTCTTCACCCTGTGAAGACAAATACCAAGGCCAATAAGGTAGTTGAGACTGTGAAGGGTCCCATTTTGCCACAAGGCCCTCAGGTTGGCCGCCTGCTATCCGTTAGGGAGAGTTCGGCTACGGTTTCGGAGTGGGATGAGCGCCTACTGCCCTCCAGCCAGATTCGCAACAAGGAGAACAAGGACTATCGCAAGAAGGGTCTCCTCTTGACCGGGACTATGCCAAAGAAAAAGCTAGGTGGGGAGGGACAAGGCTGGAAGGGTTTCTCCCAGGATGTCTCCCTCTACAAGAATCTAAATACCCCCATGCAGCCCAGTAAGAGTGATATTGCCATTTCAAGCGATAAAGATGATTTGACTGATCGGAAAAAGGGAGCGATTAAAAAGAAAACCCAAATGCCGACTGGGAATCCCCTAAAAAGGAGTCACTCCTCTACTATTCCGCTTAAAAACGATAATCCCCCACGGGCAGGAAATGCCACTTCCCTGAATTATCAGGATGCTATGATAAAGGAGAAGCTTAATGATCCTATGTGGTGCAACTTGAGCTCAGAGGACTTTGTTTTCCAACACAATCTGGATAACAAGATTTTGGTGAAGACAGTGATGCCAAAGTTTCTAACCAAATTGCAGCCGTCAACTAGTAAAGATATTCCGATTGAAAATCCAAAGAGTCTGCAGTCCCAATGGATTGCTCCGCAGACCAGTGATGGGGAGATTCGCTTCTCTAAGAACCAGGATAAGGTGGCTATGGATAAACTGATGCCCGAGTTGGTTCAGCCTCCTCGCATCTTGAACAAGCCCCCGGCTAAGGAACCTGATCCTCTGAGTGAAGACTTGATTATCACTATGAGCGACAACGAGGACTTGCCCATTCGCGTCTCTAGTAAGGAAAAGTCTAGTCGGGATCCCATGTGGAGCTCGACCTCCATTCGCTTGAAAGACAGTAAGAAGAAGGCAAATGTGGTTGAGAAGGCAAAGGAAGAGAGCGTTTGGCACAAGGACAACCTGTGCGAGGTGTCCATGCGGGAAATCATGGACCCAGATGTTCCTCCCAGCACCATGAAAGGCTTGCGAAGCGTCGAGGCGATCTGCATGCGGCTGAGGGGCATCGATGTGCCAGGCAACTTGGGCATCCTTCAGGAAGCGCCCACATTTGAGGAACTCTTTGATGTCCTGAATATTTAAGATTTCGGGTTCTTGGATTAGAAAGCATAATTGGTCGATATTAAAGTGTAAAGTAACTGAGAACCGAGCGACTAGGAGTCTCTATACGACTGGAAATTAGAAAAAAGTATATTTCCCTATTGAAACCAAGTAAGGTTTTTCTTTAGAAGTATCGACAAGTCGCTTGCTGTAAGCTTAGCACTGAGAAGTCCCTGTGTTCTTGAAAAATACCAAAGCTTTATATATTTTATAATTCAATCTTAAACATGCTGATTCTTGTAATATTAAAGATTTATTTGAAAATAATATTAAAGTTTCACAAGTCCATTTGAAATAAGTGGTCAAATCACAATTCCCTTGTTAACCTTACAATTTTACTAGAAACATATATGTCTTTTGAAGGAGGAACAATTCTTAAAACAAATATTATACTCGTTGCAAACATTTTCCCAAGTCTCTGCTAGTCAAATATATTTTTGCAAATATTTTTAACCATTTCACTCATTCCCATGCCTTCCTCTGCAGCTTGTAACAATAAATACTGTGTGCAGCTGCAGCAACAATAGCTGGGAAAAACAGCAATGGCATCAATTTTTTGTAACATGTTGCCAAACATGGCCGAGCCACGCCCACAGCCCGTAGTCCACCGCCCACATTCCACAGCCTGGAGCAGAAGGACTCCTCCGGCAGATGCCGATGGCGATGGCGATGCCACTGATGTTGCTGTTCCTGCTGCGGTGGCCACTTAAATGTCGTTATGTTGTCGGGTCACGCGCAATGCCCCCTGGCCTCCCAATCCGCATTCACATCCATGACCATGTCCTTCGTCCTTTGCCACCATCTATTTTATTTTTTTTTTGGCCAGCGGGGCCAAAGGGAAAAACAACTTTATTGCCGCAGCAATTATGCGTAGCTAATAAAAATGTGCAGAGGTGTTGGCCGCAGCAGGGGGTCGGAAAATCTGGGAAAATCGAGGAGCTGGGGGGGTCGGAATAAAATTTTCCTGGGGCAGGCAGCATCGACAGCGAAACGATTTATGCAAGCGGGAATAATTAATGCGCTGATTTATTTAAAAACGTGTTTTGGCATTCAAATGAAGGCGCCAATTGTAGAGAGTGCTGCTCTTTGTTCCATTAACCCATGGAGGGCTGCCCAAAAAAAAAATCTATACATATCTAGAACCATTTTGTTAGTTTCCCAGGCATTTTGAATTTTTCTCATCGCATTCTAACCATTTTAAGTTCTTAGTGCTAGCCACGGAATCGGGCATTAATGGGTTAACATGTGTGAATTCTCGCGCTTTGTCGAAATGCAAATTTATATGCCAGCTTTTGACAGCAACAACAATCGCATAACCAAAACAAACAAGGCCAAAAAAAAAATGGGGAAAAGAAGAAAAATCAAATATGTTAAGCGGCATTTAAGCGAATGTATGTGCCACACGAGATAATGCCCCCTACCCTTCCCCACCCTTTTGTTTGTGTATTTTTCTAAAAATTTGCACGCATTGCATTGTTGTACTTTTCGCTGTTTTGGGTTCTCTGTTTGTTTGTCTTTTTGTTTGTTTGTTTGTTTGCGGCACACACACATGTGCGGTTCCCAGCGGCAGGGTCCCCTAAAAGTATGCAAAGGGGACAAACGGAAACATGAGGGAAATCGGGAAAAAAGGAAGGCGGCACACGCCATTTGGGTGGATTTGTGGGTGGCTATAAGGTTATAAGGCTATATGGGTGTATGGGTTCGCAGGAGATGTGGGAAATGTAAACGGAATTGTTTTGCCCGCTCGATGCTGCATGTGTGTGCGGGTTTGGGTGTGGGTAAGTGTGGGAAAACGTGCGGGTGTGTGTGTGACAAAGGGATAATGACTGGCAGCCGGGATATACTCACACCCACACCCACACACACGGCGCGCTGCGTGTCTTATCACCAATGAAGGAAAACACGCACGGCCGCTCAACGGGCTCAAGGCAACGCCAACGGGGCGTATTGACAACGACTAGGATATGCCCACCGATTCCCCCCTTTGGTCCTTTGAGTCCTGGAGTTTGCTCAAAGGACTTGCGTCGGTTTATCCTGCGGGAGGGAAAGGTTCGAAGTTGCCAGGGGGAAGTGCATTGTGAACAGGTTGTCGGCCTTTTTGGGGAACATGTACATATCATGCACTTGTTGATAAGCTTTCAGTTCCCCAACTAAAATATTGTACTGGGTATTGTAACTATTGAGCCTTTGTCAATATTATTCTTACATATGAGTGACTCTTTGTGAATCATATTGAGTATTTCTTTATGGTCTAAAAACGATATAACAACACATATAAAATGAGTTTTATAAAAATAAAAAACAAAAATCCATTTAACAATATCTACATCATTTTTATTTTTTAAAAAACACATTTAATCTTAATTAAGTTTAAGGGAAAGTTCCCTAAGAGTTGAATAATTAAAATACATGTTTGCGAATAACTATAATTCAATGTTTAATCACCATTTTTAGTTTAATTTAATACTTACTTTACACAAAGTACAGAAAAGTTTAATATCGATTTAAGTATTTAAAAAACATTAAAAAGATGTTTTTTCTTTTATATGAGAAAAAAAACTGTTTTGTAAAATTATCTTTAATAAGTTAGTTTTTTATTATTTATTTAAAAGCATTGTACTTTATAAATATTAATAAGACACAAATTAAAGTAGAAACCCTTATCAAGTCAAAAGTTTTTGAATCTCCCGCCAAGCCTCGTTACATTATGCCAGTCACAGCGAACAACAACAAATTATCGATAACTATCATGTTACTTAACATTGCCATTCTCCGTTAGGCCACTGCTAAAAGCAGTGTTGGTAAACGTCGCCATAAAAATATTCTACAGCACTGATAAATTTGAATTTAAATTTGAAATTTCAAGCTAAACAGAAAACAATGTTTTACCTATTCAAATCAAGCCCAAAGAAATCGCATATTTAGTTTTATAAAAATAATTGCACTTTATTTAATTTAAGCCCTAGATTAGCATTACAATTAGTTGTCTAAAAGGTAATTTGTTCAACAATTTCCATTACGTAGGGGGCGCACCTGCCACGCTCCGAAATGCATCAGCAAGGGGCAACAACAACGACTCGATTACAGTTAAATGACTATTGTTCACTGACTCAGTTTCCGAGGGGCGTTTCTAAGGTTTCAAAGTCGACGGTTTCTTTTTGGGGCGGGCCGTTTTGGGACATCATTGCATTAACGTAAACTTAGACAAACGGGGTTTAAGCACTAGTTATCACATAGTAAACTTATGGGGTAGGTGTTTTCCTTCGTTGCGATTGCATTGACTTGCAGTTGAGGGACTCCGATTCTGATCCAGATCAGATAAGCTATCTTAGCGATAGCCCAGCAGATATTTGGGCAGGTAGGTGATGGAGGACAGCAGGCTATAGCTTTTGGGCAGAATAAAGAGTTTTGGGGGGTCATTTGGGTATTTTATTGTCATGGAAACTACAGAATCTTGCCACCAAAAATTCATATATATGTACAGGTCTTAACCACCAGCGTTAACAATCACCACATCAAAGGGGCCATAACCATCGGCTGATGTCACCGGCACTTCCGTTCGATCTTCGGCGCTGTTTGATCATTAGTTATTTGATTTTAGTTGTTGCATGTACCACACCAGATCGTAAAATAAAATGTGTTTGTTTTTATAAGGTAAAAATAAAAGATGAGAGAGTGCGAAATGACTAACAAACAAACGAGTGACAGCATAGGGACTACAATAAAGCGATTAATTACAATTACAAGTTGAGTTCGATTAGGTTATAGGAAACGACACCAGAAGAACACGCAGACAAACTAAACAGTGCTTACGAGTTGGTCAATCCCTTGTAGAACCAGGACTTCCAGGACTTGGATGACTCCTCGTCGATCTTGGACTCGACCTCGGCACAAAAGTGCTTCCGGTCGTGGGACCGTCCACTTCGGCAGTCGCAGATCAGTCGCTTTTTGCACTCGGCATCGCAGGTGGGTCGCGCCGGGGAGTTTTTCCAGTAATATCTGAAAGATATACAAAATTAAATATTAAAGAAACATTCTTTATTACAAAAACCTACTTGTAGTACAGCTCGAAGAGCTCCTGATTATTGGTCAGCTCGTTGAGCAGATTGTTCCAATCGCTGGGACGCAGGGCCTTCATGTTGTAGGCCGCTCGGGCTGTATAAAGTTTGTACCAAATAGGGTAGCCATACAGATTGGCCTCCTTGAGGTTCATTATCCAGGACTCGTGGTCAATGACCAGTCGTGTGGTGGAATCATGATCACCATCCACGTAGTAGATCCGATAGCCAGGATTCAGATCGTAGTAAGGGGAGACAGAGGGTCCAATGTAGGCAATGCCATTGGGATGAGCTGGAAAAAAGGAACTAAATTAGTAAGTTTGGGTATTAGTTTATAAGAAAGTGTATTACTTAGATCATGCGGATCGTAGAACATTTCAAACTCATCGTAGTGCGTGTGTCCATAGAACTGAGCAGTCACAGTGCTCTCATAGCGCGAGATGATCTTGTAAAAGTTGCGGGACCACACCTTCAAGCAGTCGGAGTGTCCTGGCGGAATATGGCCTATGACGTGCACCTTTTCGTTGGAGAACTCGGCACTCTGAAGTTCGTAAATAAACCTTGAAAGATATATTAATTAAGATTTGTCTTTAGAACATCCTATAGCTTTTCCCACCATTGCAATTCGGTGGCGGGATCTGTGGAGTTGAGTAGCAGCCACCAGTTCTTGTTGTTGCAGTAGTTCATGTTCAGCGAGATGATCCTGAAACCAGGGCGAACCAGCACCGAGTAGAAGGCACCTCGTCGCACAGTGTGGGTCACACTTTGGGGCAGCCAGCGGCGCCACTGGACATCGAGTTCATCGTAGAGCCAGCTGATGGAGATGTCCACCTGGTTGACGTACGGCGGTGGAAAGCTGTTCACCGGGGCACTTTCGTGATTCCCGAGAGCTGGAAAGATGGGTATGCCCGGAAACATTTCCACCATCTGCTTCACCGTGTCCTTGATGATGGCCAGGTTCTCCTCCTTCGTCTGGTTCCACACGTCGTGGGGCGGCAGATCCCCCGTCCACAGGATGTAGTCGATGTCCTTGTGCGTCTCTGCGATGTGTGACAGCATGTGATCCACTGTTCTCTTGGGAGTGTCGCACTTCCGGTAATCCCCCCACTTCCCTGCGGCCGCATTCGGCGTGGCAGGACGACCACTGGTCAGGCGACAGCAAAGTGGCTCATTGCAGTCCGCATTGGAGCCCTCCGCATAGTGCGGATCATAGTGGGTGTCGGAGATGTGCAGGACCTTGAAGAAGGGGGCAGCTTCCATGGGAATGGGCAGATCAGCGAGACGAGGTGGCTTGGGCACTGGCGGAAAGATCACCTCCCATTCGTGATACGGATTATAGACATCCGCACAACCGTCACCTATGACAAAGCTGCAGAGTTCATCCGGACTCAGGTTAACCCTCTTCAGAACGTATATCAACTCGCTGCCAAAGAGCTGGGCTACTCCCTGGCACACCCGGGCACTCTGGATATTCAGATTGGTGCAGTAGTCCGTGATCATGCGGATCAGCTCCGCATCCGTCTTGCCCGATTGAATCTGATGCTGCAGCATTCCGGCACCAGCTCGGCAGGCTGTGCAGGTCACCTTGGACATCACACTGTTCTCGATCTCGAAGGCCACCTGCTTGAGGTTCAGCAGCTTGAGGGCTTTGTCCACGAAGGGCGGATACACCAGGCCATCTCCGCCGGCCACATCGTACCACAGCATCCTCGAGCTCGCCGTCTGATTATGGCGGATGTCCACCAATCTCTGGAGGAACTCCGAGTCGGAACTGTCCGAGGTGAGGGTGCGATGGGTGCGGTTCGGATGGAGCATGGGTTCCAGGTGCGGCTGAATGCTGCGCGGCTGCTCCTCAATCACCCAACGCTCCATTTCCGGCTGCGTCCAGTTGTTCTGCGGCCTGAGGCTGGTGAACAGGAAGGGCAGGGCTGCAACTATGGAAATGTATGATTACCTCCATTGATTCCGATGATGTCCCCCTTCGGTACTCACCATCTGCCACCGAGAGAACGGCTAGAAGGCCCAGGATGAGCCAGCATTTTCCCCTGGGTCTCGAACTCGAACTCGGACTCGGCCACGGCGGCTGTTGCTGTGTCATAACTGGTGGACTTGTGGACTTTGCCACGCCAGGCCAGTCCAGGTGCGGATGGGGTATGGAGCTCCACAGGTAGCAGGCGGCTTGACCTACATAACAGGGTTTACCCAAAAAAATAACAAGCGGAGACAGCAAATTGGAGAGTCATTATTTTGTGGAACGAGTTTCATTACGGCGCTTTTTTTTAAGTAAGTAAGAGTATGTGCAGTGGCTCATCAACGATTTCGGTTTGTTTTGGTTTTTAGTATGCAGTTTCTTTTCCTGCTTGATTTATGGCTAGTAGCATTAACATTTATGTAATGCAGAGGACAGACTCATAAATAAACTGGCTGCTGCTATAACATTTTAATAACTGTCTGCGAAGTTGTTTCTGTAATCTCAATCAAAAAAGCTGGCCAAGTTCCCAGAAATTTTAAATCAATTCTTACTAGGTCAAAATAGAAGGTAAGCACAAATCCATGTCTAATGGAAATACCTACTGCCAAAAGTCAAATCATTTCGGCCTGAGTTATTACATTTGATGTCATGATTGTAAGTACCAATCTTGTTTGTAAATCCTGCTCATTTATTCAGCCATAAAGGTATCTCCGCCCTACAGACCATAAATCGTCCCTTGGCTTTTGTCGCATTATGTTGCTTGGCCACAAATCCTATTGCAGTCATTTCCAGAGCTGAAAACCGACCCCAGACCCCAGTTCCAGCCAAATCCACACCCCTTCACCACTTGACCTTTCCGATTGCCCGTCACTAGGGATACGAAATCTAAATTTCAATTTGTGTGCGGGTGTTTGCCGCTCTCATCAACATTTGACAGCACTTAAAATCTCGTTAGCTGTAAATGGCAGCCGTGTTTGAACACCCACAACACAGCAGCAACATCGGCAACACCAGCAACATGAGCAACAAACATGAGCAACATCATCAGCAATCGGGGAAATGTCACCTCCCGATGCATCCAACATTAGATGGAATTGTTGCAGCGCTTTTATTTGGATTGACAGATACATTTGTAACCCACTATTGCCGGCGACTCATGTGCGATATCTTTATATCGAGTGTTGTTAGCTTAAAGCTTTTCTCATATGTCACAGTCCCCTGGAAAACCTCGGTTTATTTACGCTCGTTCCGCTAAGATGGCCTTATCAAAATGCCTTATCAGCATCTGCCGTCCAGATGTGATTTGAAGATGCTATATTTTATTTGACGCTGTAGTTATACCCGTTACTCGTAGAGTAAAAGGGTATACTAGATTCGTCGGAAAGTATGTAACAGGCAGAAGGAAGCGTTTCCGACCCCACAAAGTATATATATTCTTGATCAGGATCACTAGCCGAGTCGATCTAGCCATGTCCGTCTGTCCGTCTGTCCGTCTGTCCGTCTGTCCGTCTGTCCGTCTGTCCGTCTGTCTGTCCGTCCGGATGAACGCTGAGATCTCGGAAACTATGGGAGCTAGGCTATTGAGATTTGGCGTGCAGATTCCTGAGCTTCTTACGCAGCGCAAGTTTGTTTCGGCACAGTGCCACGCCCACTCTAACGCCCACAAACCGCCCAAAACTGTGGCTCCTACAGTTTTGATGCTAGAATAAAAATTTTAACTGAAATGTATTGTTCTCATCAATACCTATCGATTGACCCAAAAAAAAGTTTGCCACGCCCACTTTAACGCCCACAAACCGCGAAAACCTGTGACGCCCACAATTTTCATGCTAGATAAAAAATGTTAACTGAAATGTATTGGTCTCGTCGATACCTATCGATTGATCCAAAAAAAAATTTGCCACGCCCACTCTAACGCCCATATCGCTTAAATCTGTATACCGCCGGTAGGTGGCGCATTTTAATCTCGCTTTGCTGCTTGCATATCTCCATTTAGCTGAGTAACGGGTATCTGATAGTCGAGGTACTCGACTATAGCGTTCTCCCTTGTTTTTATTTATTTTTTAACACTGGGCTATCAAGTTTCTGTTGTTGTTTAAAAGGAAGTGCCCTTATCAGTGTGAGCTATATAACGAGTTAAATGACTTAAGTAAATATACATTAACAAGGCTTCAGCAAGGGAACAAATATTCAACAAAAGAGGTGAAGATTAAATTTAAATATATGAAATTTAATATATCATAAGTCAGCCGATGGAAAAATAAACTGTATGTTATCAGAAAAACAAATAATTTTAATGGAGTTTTTAAGTTCTAATAAGTGGTATTATTTTTTCTATGGAAATACTTCTTTAATAGTTAAAGATACCCCTCTACATTTGCGTCTTTGACCCTGACTCATCTTTAGACAACCAATTGATGGTTCTGCCATCCAAACAGCTATCACATGACACGATATATAAAATAGCAATCAAGTGCGAGTAAACAAAACAACTAAATTCAATTGGTTTGTTTGTGGTTTCTGGCCTTAAGTGTGCTTCGTGTTTTGTGCGGGCAACATATACATTATGCACCGGGCTCAATGCCACCCATCCAATTGGCATAGCCCCGCCAAATCGGCCGACAATGCCCCATCTATAAGCCAGACACCCCGACAAACGATGGACAAGTGTCGCAGCACGAAAGTACATTGGCCTCCCGGCGGAGAGAAATCGTCGGCGTCTTGTAATATCCGAGGGTTTTTCAACTGTTTTTATTTGCCGTAGAGATTTCCAGCGAAAATCGAAAGTGCCCGCTCTAGGGCGCGGGGTTCGGATCAAGTAAAAATGCATTATTAACACATTTGATAGGGGGCAGACGACCAGAAAACTCGTTTCGCGGACAAGGTTAGCCGAGGACAACACTAATTTCCAGCTGAATGCAGGTCAAGTTACAGCCATCAAATGTGCCTGAACCCGAGCTCGAACCCGCTATCAAAAGACATTACAAAACTATCAAAACTTAGGCCAGATCCGACCAGACTCTTCCATCAACCGGTTTCATCGACTGTATTTACTACACCTGCAGCACGTGGTCAGAAAAATGGATTTTTGGCACACTCCATCTGCATCTGATGGCCGTTGTTCTGCTATTCAGCTTTCTCATTCACAATATAGTAGGTTAGTTGCGTTCATTCAGGGCACGATTACTCCCCAAAAAAGGGCCTCTCAGCGGGCCCCCCGTAAGTCGGGACAAAAAATGTATGTATGTATATGCGGCCGAAAAAACTTTCACTTTCTTTAGAAATTATTTTTGATAATATAATTTCTTCTTTCTTTCGCTTTTGTTATTTTGACGGGGCATGTGCTAAATGGAGTGGGTCCCACACCCAAACACGAAATCCCATATAACATCTGAATCTCCCAGGGCTTAAGTCACTCCATCCAATCTTGTTGGCTTTGCTTTTAGTGTCTATTGTATAATGCTGCAGTCTCGGTCACGCTGCATGTAATGTTTTAATGAACATTTCTGGTTTTATAATAATTAGGAAAGAGATGGGAGAGCGCTGTCTACAGAGACCAGCCAGATGAAAATGAAAACGAAAGTGAGTTTCTTTTCTTTTCCAGCAGCAAATTGGCCTATGGAAATTTTAGAGTTGTGTACCGAAAGTGATTGATTGTTTTTCATTGATTTTATAAAAAGAAAGCTTGGTTTTTTAGAATGTGGCTGAGAATTAACCCATTTAAGCCGAAATAACACGTTTACAAGTAATCGCAGATAAGTAGGAATTATTTTGGGCACGTAAACGTTAGAAAAGTAAGGTATTTCGATTCCCCATTAAAGTCATTTCGATCTTTAATATTCATGGTCAGTTTCGGGGAGTGCGTGTGGCTTATTTGCCATTCGTATGGATGAGATGGCCAGTGGCCAATGGAACAGCCTCGTCATGTCCAAATACTGGCCTATATATTTGTTTTTGTGGCTCGGGCGTTTTGGTTAGCGGGGGCTAATTAAACATGCAGCCATGTAGCCACTCATCGTACCTCAAATACCTCGAATACAGCAAACTGCACGCAAATAGAAACGGAAACTAGAATGCCAATCGAAAGCGTAAAGATGCGTAACCAGAAGATCGGACTTGTATGTACTATATACCACAACGCCTTAGAATGGGCCGCAAAAAGTGAAACAAGGTGCGGATTTTGCAAGACGGTCTGCGCATGCGTGACAAGTTAAGATACCCAAAGTGAAATGCGCAAACGTGTTTTTCCTGACGCGTTGCTTCTGACGAAATGTGTAACAGTAAATAGTGGGGAAAAAACATAGTAGCCAACACAACTGGTTTGTAGATTTAACCAAGACCAAACCAAAACATTGATCAAAGCCGCAGACTTCGCATATTTACCTCTTCCCAAGTCCCAAAAAATGCACAATCAACGGGCACTTCTGAGCCGAACTTTCGTTCTTGACCCACAACGAACCCGCCTTTGTTCTTTCGATTTCTGTTTTCTTTGCTTTTGGCTCGGCTCTTTCCCTTTTTATGCTTTTTATTTGTCTGGTTTTATTTGTTTGCCACTTTTTCTTTCCTATGGTTACACTATTTATAGGCAATATTGTGCCATAATTCGCAGCTCTGCTCCGCTGATTGGCCTCATTTATTTGCGATTCATTTGTTTGGCTCACGATTTTCTACAATCGAACTTATGTATTTCTTTTTTGGCCTGCACTCCACACTTGTCGCTTCGCTTTGTTGTTTCTTCTGCCGAAGATTTCACCCGCCGCACAAAGAATTCGCGTTTCTCCGCTGAGAGAATCCAACCGCTCGCCGCGAACCGCCGACACTGAATGGTTGAGAAACGCAGAATTCAGCTTTTGAGTCGAGCTTCGAGCTCTGCAGTTGATAAAAGTTCATGGGAAGAAGAGAGTACTTTTTAGATCCGAAAGAAAATCGGAGAGAGCTTTTTCTATATGAGTAGCCGAGGTTTGGCGTGCCCAACTTTTGACAATTAATTTGTTTCATCTAAATCTCGCATGAAAACTGTTAGCTATTGTTACAAAACGGAAGTATCTAGTATATGATAGAATCTGTTCTACAGATCATGCATTGTTTCGGCTACGATCTGTTGACTTTATAATGAGTTTCTTAGTCAGGCGAATTTTTCGTTAGAATTGGCTTTGATCATTAGCATATTTTGGCATGATATAAACTCGTCAAACGGATCTTAACATTTGGACAACTTTTGTTTTCTATTTTATGTCATTAGCCACTAATTGTTTTTTTTAATAAAGACCTCTTACTCAGCTTAATTCTTCGTAAAACTTTGTCTAGACTTTGGTGTGTCTAAATAAAACGACTTATAAAACATATAGATTACCATTATCTCATACTTTTATTTTGGACTTCCCGAAAAATCTTAAAGAGTAAATCAAATTCTGCCATATATGGTATAAACAGGCGTTTCCTCAAACTCTGACTCGGCAAATTCTCCATAAATAAAGCTACATTAAATTATAAACACTTGTATTATAATGGTTTAGACCTTCACGATCTTGACTATGCCAAGTGTTAATGGTTAGTTATGTAGTTGCCAACACCCATTCACATTATTCTCATATTTACACATTTAATGAGGTACATAATTTGCGTATGCTTATATTCGTATTTGTAGGTGATATACTACCCACCGTGACCAATCGTTTTTTCGGCTGAACAGGCTGAATAGGTGGGGGCTGGATCCATCAATCAAGTTCTGCTAACCGTTGGCCCCCGTATCCGACAAATGCACTCGGTTGATTTATGACCACCGCCTATCAGGCGGAGGACTCGATTGACGCACTCGACGAGTCATCGCACTGCTTGTAAATGGTGAACACTTCCCTCTTTAGGCTGAGGAACCGCCGCAGGCTACTGGGATCCCGCTGCACTTCTCCAGAAACTTCATCCGGTTGCTCGACATCCCGTATAACCGGGGTGGCTGCCATATCCCGGGTGGGATGGCACCTCCAAGTGAAAGTGGGCGGTTGCAAGCCACAGCAGCACCTCCTTCTATCCATCTGATCCGTGGGCATGGCATCCTGAGCCTTACCAGGACTGCAGCCAAAGAATCCTAGTATCTTCTGCTTGACCAGCGATACAGTTTTGATTGTTTGGGTGAGGAAAGTGTAGAAAATGGGGTTTAGGGCACAGCTGAACAGGTTTAGTATGCCAAAACTGAAGTACAGCAGCCAGTCGATGGGTTCCGAATAGGTACCAAACAGTCGCATGATCAGGAAAACCCAGGCGGGCAATCGAAGACATATAAAGACCGCCATCATCAGGAGCACCACTACCACCATCCGGCGGTGTCTGGCCTCCCTGGCCAAGGCAGCAGCCGTGGTCTTCTTCCCTGGATCCTTGGCAGGAATCTTGGGCGGCAGCGAGGCCTTCTCCAGTGCAAAGGGCAGGGCCACACCCACGGCACTGACTAAGGTGGTGGGCATCAGGAGGTCCCCACCCATCGACTTGAACTGACCCTCCTTGGGCTCCTGCTGCTGCACCTGCTGCTCCTGGTGGTAGTGCCTCCTTAGCCACAGTTGCCTCGCAATCACCGCATTCAACCACACGAAGGACACTATGCAGGGCAGGAAAATCAGGGCGAACAGTATGACGTAGTAGAGTCCGATGTCGTGCTAAAACAAAATATTTATAGAATTGCATATATAGTAAATTGTTTTTCACCCAGCTGATAAGATAATCATAACATTGATTTGACAACCCCCCTCCCTAATCCCCTTAATCGCTGTCAACTTTATGAATAAAGCGATAATCCAGTCGTTGACTTACGTCGCCGGCCAGGCACATGTGGACCATTTCCAGCTCGGTGACCACCAGTTCCTCGGGAACTACTGTCGGCACTCCTCCGCTTTCTTCGGATGAGTCATCATCCATCCGCAGGAGGAAGATTCGCTTGTATTCGTAGATCCCCAGAAGAGGTCCAGAGGCTCCGATCGAACAGGCCCAAATGAGCAACATGCACAGGCAGCTGAAGCGGATGTCGGGATTCCAGAATCCCAGCACGGGTCGCATCACGGCCAAATAGCGGTCCAGGGCAATGGCCACCAGGGTCAAACTGCCGGACAACACCGATGTGGTGGTTATGAACGGCACGAAGTTGCACATGAAGCCGCCAATTGTCTAGAACGATTCATTTTTAGTTTATAATAAAAATCGAGTCTCAATGTCTTGATGTGAATGCATACAAATCAATTTTAATATAAAAAGGAAATTTGTTTTAAACATTATTTTAAATATTCAAATGACAATATTATTCTTAGGTGTATAAGGTTTAAAATAAAGCTTGGTACTTGGTTAATTCGTTGATTGTGGAATACATCAGAAGAATTACATTACTTAAACTCATTTTTCATTATAATATTTAAGCTTTAACAATTTGGAAAATGCACCTGTTCTGATTTTAAATTTCGAAAAATGCTATCGAATTCGATTTTACGTTGCTTTCATTTTGTATACAACTTGGTAATCTTTTAGTCAATTGTATTATGATCTGTAGACTTATAGTAAAAGTTAATTAAATACAAACTTTTCTCAAAGAATGTACTTTTTAAACGACTATTTGTTTTGCTTAGTACCATTTTTTGCCAATTGAATTCGATTAAAATACAAATGCAAAGAATTAATTATGAAAACCTGAAATGACCTGATAGAATCAATTTATATTTAATCTCTACATTTAATGGTATGCTGTTAATATATAATGCGATTAATAATAAACGGTTTCAGTACTCCATGACCAATTCTTTCGACTCACCCACAACTGCAGATACTCCGCCTGGAATTGGGCCATATAGGACACGGAGCAGAAGATGCTGGAGACGAGATCGCTGCAGGCCAGTGATATAAGGCAGGCTCTGAAAAAGGGTCGTAACTTCCGGCGGCTGTTCACATAGAGGGTGCTCAGATTCCCGGAGAAGGCCAGGCAAAACAGGATGCCCACCACGGCGGTAAAGGCGTGCCGCTTGAAGCGATTCAGCTGGCTGAGATCCCCGATGAATACGCCAGGATACGGCTTGACCGCCGGGCTCGGGGTGACCTCTCCATACTGGGCCTCAGCCCACTTTAGGTACAGCACGAGTTGATCGAAGGTATAGTGGAGCAGGGCCATTTCCAACCCCAAAGCCCGAAAGTATGCCGCGCCAAAGGTCCGGACCTAAAAGCTTCCGCGAACAGACTGCCGACAGATTTATGACCACCGACTACCGACAACCGATGGGCTTAATGTTTCATTATCGGGTACCGCTTATCGTTCAAATTGCTATCCACTGTCATTACTATGCGCACCTCGTTGCACACGCCATCATCATCATAATGATGATTTTACTGGCAATCCTTCATTCATGCCCCTAAAGCTTTTTATTTTGTGAGGGGAGGGGTTGTGGAGTAAGTAAAACACCTTGCGAAAATCTGTTTTTCTTTAGCTGTGATTTCACATTTATTTGCGAGACTTTCCTCCTTTTATAGCACATTTGTTTATTGTCCTCCTTTCGGTTGCATAAGTTCGGCTTCAAAAAATACAACGCTTTCAACGCACATATATATTCATAATGGTATATCTAATATAGAGCTAATTGTAAGCTTAATGTACAAAAGAACGGTTTACGGTTAAAACTTAACAGCAAAAGCCTACGAAAACTAAGTTTAAACTTTAAACTAGGAGTGCTGGGGCTAAAATCTAGAAAACGATCAGCAGAGTGGGAAAACCAATGAAACAGTTTATACAAAAATTAACGGCTAGCTAAAAATTACAAAAGTAAGCACTCGAGAATACTTGGAATCAAATGGCGAACACAATCAGAAGTCACACGCACACACTCACTCGCTCACACAACATTTGCCACGAACATCTGTATATATATCTGTATACATATATATATATATATATATATATATATATGGAGCTAGGTGTATAGTCTTTTAACCAGCATAGTTTTTGTAGGATAGTGTAGTAATCGTAGTGGATAAGGTAGCTTTACAACGACGGATAGTTCAGTGTTTGTATTCGAAAATGCAGCGAAGCTTTTTGGGAATTACGACCTATGTAAGCCCGTAACTCCTGGTTACCTAGTAGAAGGACTCGTGGGATCCGTCCAGACATTGGCTGGCCATGTGAAGGGTGAGCGCCTGGTAGGGCAGGGGCTTGCCCATGCTCAGGTTGGCGGTCACGTAGACCAGGTAACTGGAACCCGGCTGGAGGTTCAGTATGGTCTCCGTTTCGATGTTGTCGGGACTGAGTGATATGGTAAACTATAGATAAGTTATTTTTAGTTAAGGTTATGATATACCCACCTCTGCTGCCTTTCCCTACAAGTCATCCACTCAAAGTTCCTGTACTGCATCACCCGCTTGGGCACAAAGTCCATGCAGTAGTTGGTGGAGTCCACCACGCTGCGATTGCGCTGCGGCAGATTGAACACTATGATGCAATAGCTGCAAGTCGGGAATATAGTATATGATATATGAGAATTTTAGATCAGGATCTTACCTCAACTCGCGTTCATCTGGTGAGCCGTTCCAGGCGATGGTGGCTCGATTGCACCTCGTTCGCACATTGAAAACACTGGTGTTCTGTGGCAGTTCGGGCAAATCCCGGAACAAGGCCTCGCTGCTCAAGGCCACCTGTAAGGTAAATGGTTTTTATATTGTAGAATATAGTTACTAGAAAGATCATCCCCCTTACCATAACTTTCTGGGCCCGCAACGCCTCATCCTCGTTACTGGGCTCGAATCGCATTAGATACCTTTCGCCTGGTAGAACTCCCTTTTGCCTTATATACGTGGGACTGTAGAAGGCCTCCGTTCTACCCACCTCATTCCGCTGGCGCAGCAGTTTCACACGGATCTCGCTGCCCGAGCAGGGAATCAGGAGGTGCCTCATAAATGGCTCTTCCGCATCCAGTATCGTCTGCGGCACCTTGAAGCTGTACACCTGCTTGCCATGTTGTCCTCCGATCTTCAGTTGCATCAGAGCCTGCAGTTTCAAGGCCAGCGGTTGGGTTCGGTTGAAGTTCACCTGGCTGCTGGCCAGTCGAACGGTGAGATTCTGTCGAGCCTGGTGGACTCCGAATAGGTCCAACTGGTAGTTGCTCCTCGGGAGAAGACGACGCAGCATCTGCTGGCGCCTCTTCCCCGTGCACACGATGTGCAGATTCTGTCGGGGATTGAGTCTTCTCTCCCTTTGAGGTGGTGCACCCCAAACGAGATCCATGGGATTGCCCCCGGAGCAACTGGGGGTCAAGGGTCGCTGGTCCACGTAGGCGGACACCGCCTGGCAGAAATTTTCGAAGGTTATTCGCTGGGTGTTCATCGACACCCTTTGTACTACCAGGCAATAGTGCATGACATGGTAATCGAACTTGCTGAAATGATGTATGATATATAAGATAGGTATAGTAAAAGAAAGTTACTCGGATGATATTATGGAATAAGTCCTCTGTTAATTAAAATTGATATCTCATCAACGTGGAGTACTTTGTTTAGTTTTAAGGTAAATGTTATATAAAACATACATCATCAAATTAATTCGAGGTATAGCATGTGGACTTCCTATCCCCTTAATAGATTATAACTACAGGTAAGGAACTCTTGATATTTGCGTACATTTCTTTGACGGCTATGATATTTAAGAGGGAATAAACGACGATTTATTTATTTTCGTGCATTTCTACAGAAGGCATTTAACAGATAAATTATCATCTCTTCAAAAAAAAAGAGAAAACCTAATATGTTAATATGTTAAGGGCTATATACATTTTATTAAATGATTTTAGTTTAACATTAAAAAAACATTTAACAATTTATGAGGAACGGTCTACCCAAGCAGTTAATGTTAATTAAATCAAGGATGACTAATTGGAGTACCATCTTAGCTTTGCCAAAGACCTGCCATGGTATTCTCATATGTTCTTCCTAATCTTTGGCCACTTTTGGGTTCCCAACTCACCTCCTGTCCCACTTGACGATCATCTCGCGCTTCCGCACGCGGTTCTGGGTGCGAATGGCGATCCGGTGCGTGGCGTTGAGGAGTGGCCAGTCGTGCTGGGGATGCTCCGCCAGGGCGTCCACCTTGAGGGCTCCCGAGTGGCGGGCCAGGACGAAGAGGTCGTATTGGCCGCGCAGGGCGCAGGGCAGCACCAGACTGCCCACAGACACACCTGGGCCAGGTGCCACTGCCGCCGGCCGAAGGAGGTTTCCTGTTGAGGCAGAGGTGATCACAATCGGGATGGCGGGGTTAATGAAGGGGTCTTGGGACCCAGAAGGGCGGACTTACCTGTCTGATTGTAGTACATCTTGCGGCCCACGGGCGCCGAAAAGCGAATCGTCAGCGGCGTCGAGTCGTTCAGGTTCAGCACAAATCTGCAAAACGCAAAACGAGATGAAGGCGGCTTTTTCAGGGGCGGAGTAAGTGAGCTGTTAACGCCCTTTGTCAAAAATGATGACACTAAATTATCACACGCAATTTGTTTTGCCGCCTGTCTGGACCGAACTGCACCAAATGAGTCAGCGCGTTTTGGCCATACTCTGGTTCAAAGGGTCAGTCTGGTTGGTCAAGGGGCTAAAAAGGGATTCCTTAACCGCTTGGAATAACATTTTGAAAGCAGTAAGTAAAATATTTTTGCAAGCTTTCATTTCTAAATAAATAAATAGTCAAGAAGAAATACAAATTAATGAAACTTTTTATTATGTCTCACATGAAGGACTCAAGTATACGAGATATCACTACCATTTTCAAAGATTATGTTTGGAATATATGGATGCTGTTTTTATCCCTTCTTTTGTTAGGTCATCCTTATTTGTTATTTAGTTAACAATGATATATAACATGTATATTAACGAAATATTTTATCATAATTATCTATAATGGATGTAGTAATACTGCAGTATTAAAACTTTTGTATATGTTCGATCAGTTTCTAATTAGACCCCTTTTAAAAGAGTGAATATCCTTAACCAGATCTGTTTCACAAATACCCCTTTAATCCGAAAAGAGTATTCCCTCCTCGACTTCCTTTATCCTTTGCCAACTTTGTTTATCCATCTTCTCGCCGATGCTGTTGCAACATTGTTGCAGCCAAAGATTGAGTTCAAGTCCCCTGGGCACTGGACTTTTTCTCAACTTGCTGAGTTTTGTATTGTAATTAAATGCGAAATTTACGAGCAATTCTTCTAATGACAAACTGCTAGGACAAACGAGCTCGCCGATACACCCACATGGCACATTGCACATTGAACATACCACACGAGATCCCGACAAGGATGCAGTTTGCAAGGAGCAGGATGGCCATTTCAATGCAGCAAATGACTCATTGACTTGGCTTATGGCCGGCCATCTCGAGTTTTATTTTTATGACCGGCTACTTCCGGCCAACGCCATGGCCCATCATCATCATCATGGTCATTATCATCATCGTCATCATCCCCCGCAAACCGAACAGAAGTTAGTGCGCCATTCCCAAGCCATCCCATATAATACCATATAGTCGTATTTTTGGCCGCCCTGCCAAAAGGTTTGGATTGATGGAGTGTTTTAATGCATTTCGACCATTGTTGGCGGTGGCGCCGCTGCGACTGAGAAAATATTTGCTTTAATTTAAGCCTTGCATGTTGCAATGGCGATTGTTTGGCTCTTGTTGTTGGGGCCATCCTTGTTGTCGGCACAATGACAGCAGTCAATTATACAAGGCAAACATCGGCCAAAGGCGAAAGTTGAATGCGCTCCCGGAATCCGAGGCTCGGAAATGATTTAATGCATTCCCCAGCAGCCCGCAGTGAGTGTTTTAATGGATTTGAAAGGCTGGGATTATCATACTACTGAGATTATTGAACTTTATCAGAACTATTTGATGTAGGACAGCTCAACCGATAATTTAAATTTGAGTGGTATAGTTGGAACTTCACTTTTCTAAATAAAATACATATTTTGTAGAACTTTTACACTCATAATAACCGATATGCCCCATCTGCGATGCGAAGTATATTCGCCCCATCGCATGCCCACTAAAATTCACACCAGCCGCAGTTAATTCGCCATTGCCCAACGTGACAGACACCAAAATGTGGTGGAATTATCAAAATGTCATCATAATCTTCCTACTGCAAGTTGGGAACCTGTCTCAGGGAATAGTGAATCCCTCGAATGAGACGGCCAACACGGTAATCTTCATGCTGCCCGAAAAGGATCTTGGTCCAGATGTTTGGAAGGCCGGAGTCGATTGCCTCGATAGCTTCTCGCAAATCTTCTTCTATCGCAATCCCGTGGAGCGCTACACAAGAGCTTACAACTTGGTGCTGGCCCACGTTTTCAAGCTATCCAGTCCGGCGGATCAGATCCAGGAGGGATTCAGCAAACTAATCAACGAGGCAGCCACGGATCCCGGGGAACCACATAGACAGGAACTTTTTCAGATTCGCGTTATCTCCAACAAATCCAACAAGACGATCAAAAAATTGGGAGATCTTGTCCTGGCGGATAACTATGTGGTAATTGTGGACTCCGTGAAAACGTTACTTGATTTGGTTGAATTTAACGCAGCCAAGATGTGGTCCTGGAATCCAGGTGCCCGTTTCCTGGTGCTTTTTCACAATTCGCAGTTGTGGAAAAACCCTAGGTTTGTAGCAGACGAGATTTTCCTAAAGTTAATGGAGAAGCATTATGTGCATCGAGTAGCTTTAATCTTTGCCACCTCCCCTACGGACTATAATCTGGTGGTCAATGATTACTATAGCAATGTGAACTGTAGGATTCTGGACGTCCAGAGTGTGGGTCAATGCCACGATGGCCAGCTTTATCCCAGTCCCAGAATGGTTCACGCATCCATGTTGGACTACGTGGCTGGTTTCAGTCCTAAAAACTGCACCTTCTTCGTTTGCTCCTCCATCTCGGCCCCCTTTGTGGAGGCCGACTGCATCCTGGGCCTCGAGATGAGGATCCTTGGATTCATGAAAAATCGACTGAACTTCTATGTGAGCATTGTAGAGCCCAAAAAGATTCTTTTAAATAGAATTTTAATTTCAATCTACCAGAAATAATCCCCCTTTCCTCTTGACAGGTAAATCAAACCTGCAGTACTGAGTCACGTGGCGAGGTTGAACCCAATGGCACCTGGACTGGCTTGCTCGGAAAACTGACGAACAACGAGTGTGACTTTATAATCGGTGGCTACTATCCGGACAACGAGGTGGCCGAAGTCTTCTGGGGATCGGATACCTATCTGCAGGATGCGCACACCTGGTACATCAAGGTGGCCGAAAGACGACCCGCCTGGCAGGCGATGGTCGGGATCTTTGAGCCCTACACCTGGCTTGGCTTCATCTTGATTCTCATCATCAGCTGGCTGTTCTGGTTTGCGTTGGTCAAGATATTGCCAGAACCTAAGTACTACCAACAGTTAAGTTTGACGGCCATCAATGCCTTGGCTGTATCGATTTCGATAGCCGTTCAGGAGCGACCCATGTGTGAGTCTACGAGGATATTCTTCATGGGCCTAACCCTTTACGGTCTCAATGTGGTGGCCACCTACACGTCCAAGATGATAGGCACCTTTCAGGATCCCGGATATCTTCACCAGCTGGATGAACTGACGGAGGTGGTGGAAGTGGGGATACCCTTTGGCGGCCACGAGGAAAGTCGCGATTGGTTCGAGAACGAGGAGGATATGTGGATCTTCAACGGGTACAACACCTCACCGGAGTTCATACCGCAGACAAAGAACCTGGAGGCGGTCAAGTGGGGCCAGCGGTGCATCCTGAGCAACCGGATGTACACGATGCAGAGTGCCCTGGCCGATGACATATACGCCTTTCCCTACAACGTCTTCAGCAGTCCCCTGCAGATGATCATGAAGGCCGGCTTCCCCTTCCTCTTCGAGATGAACAGAATCATCCGGCTGATGCGGGACGTGGGCATCTTCCAGAAGATCGATGCGGACTTTCGGTACAACAACACGTATCTGAACAGGATCAACAAGATGCGACCCCAGTTCGCGGGCGCCGAGATTGTCCTGACCACGGAGCATCTGAAGGGACCCTTTGGCATCCTGGTGGTGGGCATCTGCTGCTCCATCCTCACATTTCTCGTCGAGCTAATGATCCGCCATTGGCCCTGCCAGCTGGTCAGTGGAAACAGGAAGCAGCAGGAAAGGCAGAGGAAAAAGAGGAGACGGAGGAGGAGGAGGAAGGACCCAAAGGATGGCCACTGGCAGCGCCAAGTTCAAGTGGCTCCAGTCGTACGATTTACGCCAGTCAAACGACGCAAAGTTTTCTAGGGACAAACAAGTCAAAAGTAAACTAACCCAAACTAACTCCCCTAGCTGGCTGCGATAAAATTGACTCAATTCACATAAATTTGCAATTGAGAGACACTGACTCTGACTGGCAATCCCACATCCCCCCGTAACCCCCCTCGAGTGTCTGGGTCTCTTGTCTGGTCTATAGTCTATATAGATATAGTATAGTCTGGTCCGTGCCGTTCGGGTCGCTTCTGTTACTTTTCACGCGAAATACTTAAAATCAGAGACAAAATTCTATTTTTGCAAACAACAACGACGCGGAGTCTGTGCCTCGTGCATTTGGGATTGGGAATGGGAGTGGGAACGAGACTAAGACACCCCGCTTTCCGCAAATTGACAATCAGCTTCAGATTTCCCAGCTGCACTGCAGCCGGAAAACTCCGAGCGAAAACACAGATAAAGAACGAGTTAAGCAGATATCCCTATAAGTGGCGCATTCGCTGATTGCGAAGGAAGTTGCTGCAGTGCAGCCAAACAAATATCGCTTCGATATCAGATGGCACAAGTTTCGATTCGAAAATATCCCAAATGGAATTGGAAGTGGAACGCAGGACGTATATAACGGTAGAGGAAGGAAAACTTTGGCGGAATTATGTGAGTTACAGGATATAAATTTGGTAATTTCTTAGGGATTCCTATTTAATAGGTAGTCGATTTTAAGAATACGTAGGGTTTTGGTTAGATTTAATACAAGGTAAGCTTTAAATACAGAGTTATTTAACAACGTTGGACTTTGTAGTAAATCAAAATACATATCATATTTCTGTCTATAATTGCTTTCCTACAAGAAAATGGAACTATTTTCAATTAAAGATATTATTTATTTGTACTTCCAATATCAATTAATCTTTTTTTAATATTGGGTAAAATATAATCAAAGAATTAAAAGGGTATCCATGAGATATTAGATATTCCATAAATCAGATTTCGCGTTTGGAAAATTCCCATGCCTGTATTTTTTCGCCGAGCCACTTGTTGAGACAATTTATCATCTGTTTTCATTAATGGATCTTATGGCCGACATTGAGTGCTGGGGATTACTCATCCGCTGTCACTGGGAAGTCGAGTGTAAATAGAGCCCACCCACCCACTTACCCACACGGTTCGCATTTCACTTGTGATCCTGATGTCGGCCAAGAACACAACAATTATTTGATATCTCTATTATGCCCCAGCACACTGATTTTGACTCTGATACTGATTCTGTGAGTGATTCACGTCGAAAACAATGCGAAACAAAGGCACACTCAATTACTCACACCGAAATGGGCACAGTGAGCACTTAGTGTCTGTAATTTGAAAATTGCTCTACCCATCCCCTCGGCTGCGTCTCTATTTTTTGGGAAATTTAGACTATTGAACTATGGCGTTGATGCGAAGTCGTCTGACTAAGAGCGACGCCCCTCTGTCTGTTGCTGTTCGGTTTGGTATGGTTTTGGTTTTGGTTTTGGCTTTGGCTTTGGCTCTGTCGATTGCGATTCCTATTCTGATTCCCATTCCTCAGTCCCATCCACATCCACATCCACATCCACATCCTCAGACTTACTCAGTCTCGACCGAGTATTTTCGTACTCTGTCAAGTGCTAAAAATACATACTATGCCCACTACACTCGTAGGAGATCTTTTCTGGCGGCGCACAATAATGACGACGATGCTGATGCCGATGTTGATGTCGATGTCGATGTCGATGCCGAGTTGATGATGATGGGGCATTGGTCATTGTGCGAGATTTTGCCTGTGCTACAAGGTCTGCGTAGTTCTGAGCTAAAACCAAAACAAAAACCTACAAAATAAAAAGGCCAAAAACGAATTATGCTTCGCATTTTATGGCAATTTGTTGCTGCTGCTGTGGCTGCTTTGATGCGCTTACAAATAAATAGTTTCACGCCATAAAAGTCGAGATGCGGGCGGGTTTTTGCCGAGTGTCGGGCCGGGCAATAAAAGTTGTTTACACCGCCTGAGCCTGCGGCGCACATAAAAATGCAACGCCAACAACAATCAACAAACAGCATCAACATATTAACAACATTTTGCCTGCGTTCCCTGCACAAAATGGCTGTGAAAGGGATATATCTGCTATATGACTGGCTGATGTTGGTCCAATTATAATCCTTCGAAGTTACAAATACATTTAAGCTCAAATAAAACAGCTATATCAATATACAGCTATTCAAAACTGAATAAAATATTTGCTTTCCAAGGTTTTTATAGAACATATTTATTATAGTAAAGGTTAATATATTTGATTACCTGAGCATTACAATATATCAGATTTTTACAATAACCTCTTTTATTTTTGTAAATATATTGGCTGTGAAAGGGATATTTCAGTTATGTGACTGATTGATAGTGGTCCAATAGTAATCCTTGGAAATTGCTTGATTTAAAATAAAATATATTTAAGTTTAAGAAAAACAGCTAAAGCAATATAGAGCAAATCAGAATAGAATACAATATTTGCTTTTAAAAGTGTTTATAGAACATATTTATTATAGTTAAGTCTCTTAGATAAATATTTTTGATTTTAAAGGATTTTTAAAATAACCTCTACGTGCAATACTATTATATTTTTGTTAATGATGTATATAAACATTAATAAAATATTAAAGTAAGCTCGCAATTCATTTGTATTTCCTGTATATATCTAGTGTACAACAATATCTTTTCATCAGATGAAAGCACATATACCAAATCCTTTTCAAGAGGTATCCGCCAGTCGAGTGAATTCCCTTCTAGGCGGCCAGACAATCACCTTTCCGGCAGTTTTGGGGTTTGTTTTGATTTCAGGCCACTGACTGTATGACTGGGTGACTGGCAGCCCCAACTAGCCAGCGAATGCCACATGCCACAGGTGGCCGCAAGTGGCATCCGCGTCCAGAATGATCGACTTGCGAATGCGAATCGGGAATTGTGAATTGCGAATGGCGAATTGGGAACGGGAGCGCATATTGCGCCGTCGAATTAAGTCGTTAAATTAATATTTATGATTTGTTTGCGCAAAAATATTAACGCTCGCCCCTTGATTGGTGGATGGAAGGATACGCACGGGGCCACTAGGCATGGGATTGGTAGTGGGAATGGGAATTTGAATGGGAATATGGTTGAGGGGTACGGGCCTGCTGATTCTAGCAAAACGCTTAATGGCTGCACGCGTCATAAAGCCGATATTTGCCATAGCTTCTTTAGCGACCACTACCAACTCCTTTCACACGCTCAGCAAAGTGGGCAACTCGAGCCGAACGTCACGTACTCTGGTTCTGGATTTTGGATCTGGACTCTGGGCCCTCGGATCTTGGATCTCGAATCTCCAGAGCACCGCGAGCTGGTCACTCGAGCTGCCTTTTGGAGGCAATTGGAGCACTCTCGCAGGGTCGCGCGACACCAAACTATATTATATATAGTGGGGAAGAAGTGAAGGAAACGAAGCCAGAGCACTGAAAAAGCGAAACGAAAAAGGAGTTGACGACAAACCACGACATTAATTTGAATGTTTGCCGGCGTTCTGTGGCAAATGATCGAGTGTTATACGAGCCGAGGCCTCCAGTTTCCCCGCGACGGTTCGCACGTTCACTGGAGAAGATGAAAACCGAAAACCGAAAACTGAAATCCCGTAGTCGAGTGGCCAGAGCCTAAGCGAAAACGTGACGGGCCTCTTTTGACCCAGGCCCAACTGCTGCGGCCCAAGGGAAACCAATGAAAGCCGTAAAAAAAAGAACGTTACTCATACGCCACGTGCAACGCAGCGGGAACAGTGGAGCAGAGCAATGTTCGATTCGGTCCCTGTTGATGGGAAACTCTAGGCGGGCATGGGAAATTCAATATAGGGGTGCTGCAGAAAATAAAATATAGGTGTCACAGGAATTTATAGCCAGCTCTTTGAAAAGCAAAACCGAAAATAGAGCAAGTGTTAGTAAAAACTTAAACTTAAATAAGATAGCCGATATTTTAATAGATCTTTCTTGGATTTAAAAAGAAATCGAAATATCTTTTAAAATGGCATCGTAATTTAATCAAAAGAACAAAATGATTATTATTTATTTTATTTATTTATTTAAGATGATAGTAAAGTTTAGAAAACTAATACTGACATAGGTGGTGTAGTGCTAGCTACGAGGTCTTTGACTACGTATATATTTAAAATGATTATTATATTTGCACATTTGTAGATGTTTTCAGAGCATTATAAACATAAATTTTTTTAGAAAAATCGAACTTACATATCTAGCTAACAATTCCTTTATTTACTTTTGAGGTTTAGTGTACTATGTATAATCTTCAGAGTTCATAGTAGAAGTAAGTAATATTAAAGATCTAATAATCTAATACCTTTTTAGTAACTATAGGTCAAGGAATATCAATTTTTAACCATCAAAACCAGCTCAGAAGTTCCAAAAAGTTGTGTCCACCAAATAATCATGGATTAAAGAGGGAGTATTTCCAATAGTTCAAGAAGTTTGGACATATAATCTGGGTCTGCATCCACCGTGCGATTTGTGGCGGCAGCTGGGAGGACAACAAAAGCTCAAACACTAGACAAATAAGAAGAAGAGCGACGGGACCACACACATGCAGACACACACACACAAACACGTAGGACGACTGTAAAAAAATCTGGCTATGGATTTCGGCTCTATTTTTTTTTGTTTGGCCAGCCACACGTCGTGGTTATAAATTATTTTTTTGCTCCTGTCGACTACTTCTACTCGCAGAGGCGCCCCTAAGTTTGGCTCTTTTGGCCATCTTTCGCATTTGTTTGGCCGTAATTTGATTTGTGTGGCAGGCGGCGTCGCCATCGCACTTAGCCGTATTGCTGCCCGTCATCGGAAGACCGTAAACCGAAAATCGAACTCACCGCTTCCTCTGCCGCTCCGCCAAAGCAATATGCACGGGCACATCCACGTAGAGGTCCTCCAGGTCGTCGAAGTCCTTCAGCATCTTGCGGTACCGCTGCTGCGAAGGACACTTTTGCGGCGGAACTGGCGTCGCCTTGGCCACAGCCGGCGAACTGGAGTCCTGGTTCAGGGGAGGCTGCAGCAGCTCCGTGGAGTCGAGGATGATGCGATTGTTGGCCATCGGCAGGTGGGAGATCTCCGCGAGAAGCAGCGGGCTGAGCAGGAGCACCAGCAGCAGCTCCACTCCTGGCACCATGGTTCTCCTGTTTTTTTTCACTTTATTTGGTATCAACTATCCACTTGATTTGTTCTTATTTTTTGATTTTTAGCTCTGACAATCGTTGAGCCCCAAGTCTTTATTCAATTATTTGCTTTTTCTAACGTGTAATTTATTTAATAACTAGATGTTTTCAATGGCCGACAAATTCGATTTGATTCTGGTTTGTCGCATGTTTTTAATTGATGTTCGGGGAACATTTGTTGGCCACCCAAAATCTACAAATTACTTTACTTAATTTTTTTTAATTGAACAAAACTGTGCCTCAAAAATCTAGCCGAACAAACGTTATTTAGTTATTTTCAAAAGAATATTTCCGTTTATGTTTTCAAAAATGCTTCTGTGAACTTATTGAAGCAATTTATATGCTCTCCTAGCTAGAGTTTATCTTGCTGATGATACTTCTACTGTAATTTTATGGAACTAAACTAAACTTTTCAAGTTTTCTTTTCCCTTTTATCGCCTTGTTAATATCCCTTATAAATAACAGTCTTCCCAAGTCTTCTCTTACTCGTAATTGTATTACATAGTTTTCATTTCCTTAGCTCACTTTCCTTTAGAAATTTCCAAGGAAGCTTTACAAATTCGCTGGGCTACAAAAGTCGATGTATCTGTCCGACGTTTAATTCTCTGCCTTCCCTGAAAAAATGCGTTTCGGTTCTAATCCGTAAATCCGAAAATCCCGAAAAGCGAAGCCCTCGACTCGACTCGCCTCTCCTTGCGACGCACTGTGGCATCCAACCCCCTGCCACTTCGTCTCCTGGTCTTCTGTCCTCCGCACAATTAAGGCCTGTCAAACCTTTGACACACGTCGCCTGGTGTCCCCCCCAAAAAACAAGGCAACAAATCCACCCACAACTTCTTTGGCCAAAAAATAAAAATGTATTTTTTCCCTCTTTTCTTTTCAGGGGGAGTAACGCTATGCGTCGGCTCCTCTCTTCTGGGTTCCTCGGCTGTTTTTGGGGGCGCCCAATTAATTGGGGGCTGCAGTGAATGTGAATCGATTCTCGGAACTGTTAGATTTGCTAATTGCGGCTGCCCGCTGACCCTTTCTTCTTCTCCGGGGTCCCACTTTAATTAAAGTTCTGCGAATTTGCGTGTGCCGCAACAATTGGCCGCCAGGGGGCGTGGATGGCACGAAAGGGGGGCGTGGCGGGACTGGGTCTAAAACACCACCTGTGGCTATGGAACACGAGCAATTAGCCGATGGCCCACGCACGAGCACTCTTACTTTTACTTTGCGACCAAAAACACTTTTCATAAATTGGTATTTTGATTTGTGGTTGCACGCATAGTTGGAATACTTTTAGCGGGCTTTTCGCCGGGTTTCCGCCGTTTTACGCCGTATTTTCCACTCGTAGCACACGCGACACGTTTCCCGGGTGCGGAAGTTTAGCTTCTGGCACTTTTCGCTGCTGTTTCCGCTTTTCTCGATTCTCGATTCTCGACGCTCGTCCTCGTCGTCCGTCTGCCTTGACGTGCAAACGCAAAATGCCCGAGAGTCGTGCGCAAAGAAAGCCAAAAAGCCCGAGCGTCGAGAGCAAGAAGCGACTGCGACGCCGGCGGAGACGCCGACGACGGCAGCGACGCCGGCCGAGGCAGCGGCAGCTCCCAAGGAACGAAGAAGGCCCCAACCAAATGCCGAAGACGGCCCGAAGTCTCCCCCACGCACACACACACCCAGAAAGCCCGAAAAAAGTCAGAACACACGATATAATCGAGGGCCCCGACTTTCAGATACCCGCTACAGACTTTCTTGGTTCGGAAAATGTTGCATACTTACTAGGATTTGAATCTTTAAGAAAAGTTTTTAATAATCTATGTAGATTTTGATAATACAAGCCAGTGTGTATGTAAAGTATTCTTTGCCTACAAAAAAGCACAAGAATAACTTCCAGGTACCCTCTAGTCAATATGAAAATATATTTCTTGTATACAGACACTTATATAAATTTCATTATACCATATCAGATGTATATATGAGCCCAATTTTAAAATGATATGTTGATACATTTGGACAATAGAAAACTATTATGAAAGTTATATAATGGACATCTTGTGGGGCTCTTTAAAGCCTGTCTGTCTTAATATTTAAAAATATTCTGTATTCCAGAATAGAAAACCTCTAGTTATGAACACCTATACACCTTATGTAGAGAATCAGAGACACCTTCTTCCCCCTGTTACATTATCTTGCCCAAATTCAGTATACCTCTTCCACTCTACGAGTAACGGGTACAAGAATAAGAAAAACAATACATACACTTTTTGCTCTCCCTTAATTAATGCTTCGCTTTGGGCCTGCCCCATTGATGGCTTGTGTTGTTTTTTAGTCGCGCCAACATTTTTGATTTTTGAATTTCGTTTTCAATGAAAACCAGAACAGTATAGAAGAAGTATAAGAAAAAGAACAAGAGCCCAGAATCAGTGGAATAACATGTTGTGCGTTGATTTTTTATGTTCCGCACGTGACTTTCGGTGGAAACCCTGAGCGCCACTCGGCCGCGTCTTGGTAGCAACCCCTCCCGGGGATCTCGAAAGGGGATTCCCCGCCAGCCGTCCGCATGCTAAGTGCCAAAGTGCCCCCACATGAAATCGGAGCTGGCCGAAACACGGAAGATAAACATTAGATCCGAGTGGTAGTGCTATAGGCGGCGAAGTGAAGTGGATGGAATGGGGATGGGGATGGGGATGTGGATGCAACATGCGATGAGGCGATGCTCTGGAAACGCTTTGACAGGCGAGTGTTTGCCGATTCGAGTGCATGTGCAGCTGGGTTCGGGTATTACATGTGTCCCCCAAGTGATTAAAGCTATTCCAGGGCAGCGGTCGCAGCTGTAACAGTTGCCAAGCAAGGCTAGGTCTGAATACACCCATTTGGGGGATTAAGCTATTAAGCTAGGTCATTAATTGCTACAAAGTGGGAAGAAAATTTAAGAGAAAAGATAAATAGTTGTCATATTCGTTACTCGATAAGTTAGAAGGAAGCGTTTCCAAACCTATAAATAGCCTGTTTATTTTCTTGATCAGGATCACTAGCCGAGTCCATTTTGCCATGTCCATTTGAATGCTCAGATCTCTGAAACTATAAAAGCTTTAAAGTTGGGATTAAGCTTGCAGATTCTAGAGATTCCTGCGTAGCGCAAGTTTGTTTCAATAAAGTGTCACACCCATTCTAACTGCCACAAACCGCTCAAATCTGTGGCGATTACATTTTTAATGCTTAAAATCTCGCTGTTGTCCATATGTTTAAAGAATTTCTAAACGAGTAAATTGGTTTTTTAATTTTTGTGAACGGACCATTAATAAAAAAATGATGACCAAATATTGTATTGATAAAGTACTGATGAAATGTATTCGTCAGAAAGTATGGAACAGGTAGAAGGAAGCGTTTCCTAGCCTTTTTATACTAAATGATGTCGAGTAAAAGTTAAATAGGTCAACTAGATATATGGTAAATCTAAAGCTCCATTTTATAAAAAGCTATTGTAAAGAATTTTTTAACTAATAAGTTAAATTACTCTACTAACTTCATTAATATGCACTCAGGAAACACTTTAAAACTATGTATTTTTTTAACTTAGACTAATAATATTTTTAAAATCTTTTCATTTTTACATCTAACCTTTATTTACATCTCGGTTCGATCTATCTCATATAACAATACCTTATCCGTTAGTTCCTGTTTTGTAATTTAAGATGTAGCGGAACAGAAACCACGTAAATGTCCACTACAAGTTATTATGAAATTTTCGCTGGCATTATTATGCATTTTGCTGATATAAACAAATTAGTTTTTGCTGAGCTCCGCCTTTTTTCCCGCCGACATTTCTGCGATTTGGCTGGCTTCACCTGTGAGAGTGTGAGTTTCAGAGGGGGTTTTCCCGGAATTCTGACAGCATAAAGCGAGCGAAAAAGGTGAGGTAAAACAACATTTTTACCCTGTGACAGGAAGGAAATGAGTTGCGTCTGGCCGTAGCGTAGCAACAAATTAACAGCAAATTAGTTAGAAAAGCAGCCAGCAATTTTAGTGACTTAATCAGCAGCAGTTTATGGTGGCAGGGGTTTCGGGAGGAGCAGGTAGCCGGTGGCAGGAGGCAGAAGGCAGGAGGCAGGAGCATCGAGAGTTGACAACGGCCAACCTTGAAGGCGCCCCTGCCGCGCATTTCTCAAGGGTCCGCATCCCCGATCCTCCGTCACCCATCCTCCTGCTCCCTGCTCCCTGCTCAATCCTCCATCCTCCAGGTTCAATCTCATGCATAATGCAGGGCGCTGCCCGCCTGTCAGTGCGACTCTGTCCGGAGTCCATTCCCCCAACCCCAACCCAACCTAAGCCCAAGCCCCTTCCAATCCCAGCTCCATGACGCTGATGGTGGCCCAGAGTCGGCGTTGCATTTTCAACAAATTAATTATTGGCGAAGAGGTGGAACAAGTCACTTAGCTGCCGAGTAGAATGTGCCCTTGTTCCACGGCGATCGAACGTTAATTTGGCAGCAGCTTAGGGCCATTCGGTATGGAATGTGCCCCTAATTGGCCCGAAATTTGGGTATATTCCAATACTTTTTAGATTAATTATTATATATTAAACATCTATCTAATCGTTAAGAACTTAAGATTGTTCTTATATAAATGTAATGATTTTCCTATTTAATCTTTGAAAAGTTCCATCATTAAAGTCTGAAACGTATACTCTTGGTTAAAGTATCTTTATATATTTCTCATTGGTCTAGCTCATATATCTAGCTATAATATTTATTCAACCATCCAATTTTAATTGAATGATGCTTTTATTAAATATTTTTTCCCATTTTTCCTATTTTTGACCACCTATGAGCGTATTTATTCTGACAAATTTTTGATTGATTTTCTTTAAATCGCTGACATGCCAGTAAATGCCGCGCGAATCGAGCTGAGTGCATTTTGCTGTTGACACAATACTTCAGCTGTTCCATTTGTGTAACGATAGAGTCAACACGCTGCTCCCGACAATCGATCAGCGATTTGCTACTGCCAAACTGGGAACTGAAGTGAAATACTGAGATACTGAAATACTGACGGACTGCCTGGCGGAACGTCCTGGCGTTTTGGCATTCTGGCATTCTGGCATTCAGCACCATTGACTGAACTTATTGGTACAACATTTTTGCCTCACACTCGCACTTCATCAACGCAAAATGATTGGCATGCCGACGGAGGCAGAAGCTATAGCTCCAAAGCGGGAGCTATATGGCTATATAACTGAAACTGGGGAAAGGGCTAAAAGGGGTATGGGGTTTTTGGAGATGGGGGATGGGAATGCGGCAACGTTGGCGGCGAAAGCCTCCGACATGTGTAAAGGAATCGTTTAAAATAAATGACAGGCGAGCCCCCGTTTCCCGATCCCCGATTTCCGATCCCCGACATGTCGTAAACGAAACGAAAACCCTACTCCCGCAAAGAGTCCGAGTCCCCTGGCTGCATAATTACCCCCAGAGCGGAGCACACGGCAGATCACAATAATCAATACGGCCAGGTTGAGGATTCAGCAGGAGCTGAGGAATGGAGGAGGACTTGGGGGACTGGTGGACTGGAGGGAACCGAACCGAACCTGGCCGAGTTTTTGTTGCTCTTTTGTCCTCCTTCCCGAGGAACTGGCGTGTGTGGTCCGGCTTTTCGTTTTTTACATGTTTTCGGTGGCTTTGGCTTCGTTTGAACTTGGGCGCTACTCGCTGCCTGGGAGCTAGATTATTTGTTTACACGCATCCACAAACCGAACCACTAGGGATGGATATGGATGCCAGATACCAGAATGCTAATGCGTGGGTTTTGTGGGAAAAAATATAAATTAAACCTTAAGATCTGTTCAAAAACTAAAAGTCGAAGGGGGTTCCTATTTTAATAAAATATTTAAAAGTACTGAAAGCCCTACTAAACTATAGTTTAAGTTTAATAGTACCTGAAAAAAAATACATTTCTAAAGAGAAAGCCCTATACATACTCACTTCAATCAAAAGCCCTAAGAAATTCAAATATTTATACATTTTCTTGATCTAAATAGAGTAAGGAAATTTGATTTTGAATAGGTTAATATAAAAACATTTTGACCGAGCCGTAGAGAAATCTTTATATCGACTTCCAAAGACCTATGTTACAATTTGGGAGGTATAATTTAAGTCAGATTAAGTAAGATTTAAGTTTTAAATGAAATTCCTTTTTTAATTTTACAAACAGTTTTAGTCTATTACTCTATAATCCTGACACATGAAATGAATATACCATTACCTAATAAATTCTGTGTTAATCGTTATGTAAAATTCATAAACGAGAGAACTAAGGGAAAATCTATATCGCAGCCCTCGTTCAGTGAATTATCATGCCAACTTCCAGCTGGCGGAGAAAAAAAGGAGCCGCTCAAGTTTTTAGCACCTTACAACACCTTTGAATGGAAAACTTTGCCGCGGGCCGGGAAGACAGGCTCAAACACCTGGATCTTCGGCTT